GACTATAAAACTATAAAGACTAAGTATTTTTGAATGTAAACTCGTAACTGAAAATGTACAAGAATAATCGATTCTCGATGACAATAAAGCCAAATATATAAATATATTATAATAATACTTGAGAGACAGTATATACATAATTATCCGATAGGTATAGACTTGGCTTTCCTCGCATCACATCTCGTAGTCGAGCATACTTACTTGATTTATGCAATAAACTTAAATCTTCAATTCCAACGATGGATGCATTTTAAATATGCAGTGCAATTATCTTCAATTGCATTTCGTGGCACGTAATCCGTTCCCATGGCCAGTTGACCAGTTGACCAGTTGATCAGTTGGCATGTCCTTTTTGTTGATTTGCCGCCAAGATCAACAGGCATGTAATTTATGCGTATTCATTTCATAGCCTGGCCTATCCCGCTTCCTGTCTGTCTGTCCGTCTGTCTGTTTTCGTTTTTGCTTGGTTGCCATGCGGCATCAGATAGCACAATAGAGGGGGAAGGGGGCTGCCTGGATTCAAATCCGTTCGCTTCGCAATGCATTTAATAAGCACAAAAGATATCAAAAAAGGATTCTCGCGCATATCGCGCACAAAAGGAATGCAAGCGGCTCGAATCCTTGCATTGCATTTGTTGCTTCAGCCATTATTCATTATTCTTTATATATATATATATATATAATGCCATTTTTGATATGTAAATAAACAAGAAAAACAACAACAACCATAAGCAGCTAGAGGATCCTGGACGCGTTCTAATTGCCGCGAAGGACCTGCCTGGACCTTCTGCGTTAAGCTTTGCCTGCCTGCCTGTTGTGGCCTGGCCTGGCATCCTGCTAAGCTGGACATGCAATTGCAATGCAATTTCGTATTGTTTTCCCATTTAGGGGTTGAGTTTCAAGTTCTCTTCTCTGCGTCGGGGTTATCGCACGATTACAAAAGAGTTCCTCTGGTCAGCCAAACAAAAACAAAATGCAAAAATTGAAAGAAACAAAAAAAAAAACAAAAAGAAATAAAGAAAAACAAAAATAAATCATAATGCAAAATCCAAGAAACTTGCAGCGGAAGTTGCGCAGAAACCAGGAGCAGGGAGCGAGTGCAGCAGCAGGAGCAGGAACTGTGAATGCCAACTGGATGCAATTTTTGCTAGAAGTTCACATTTAAATTGTATCTATGAGATACTTTAGTTAGCAGCAGCTGCCAGCTGCTACTGGTGTCGACTCCTTAAAGATATGCATCAAGAAAAACTATTCGCACACTGCTGCACTTAACACACACACTGAGAGAAAATTAAGCAAAGAAAATTTCGTTTATCCCCCTCAAGTACGATTACGATTTTTTAAGCATTCTAGAAATTAAACATATAAAATAATATATAAAAATACCCAAATAAAGATCTAAAAAACAAAAACAAAAAGTTTTCAAATGGGTTCTGGTTCTCAACACTTCCTAAAAACTCGAAATCAGCATAATATTTTAAAACAATTATTAAAGTATATGAATAAAACGGTAACCTCAGAAATTTGAAATATTTAAAGAACTATTAACCAAACAACCATTGCAGTTTCAAACTTTTGTCTTGTGACAAACCGAAATAATTTCGAAAAAAATCATAATCTTATTATCGTTTCGATTTGATTAAACCATAAAAATAATAATTAAATCGAACTGGTTTGAATCTCACGTTCGTTTCACCGACTAGATACTTTATCACTTTTATCGTTTTCAGGCAATCTTACTTTATTAATTACTTTTAATATTATTAGGTACTCTTTGCAGACCTCATTGTTGACCCAATGTTTGCTTAAAGTACGACACATTTTTCACAGTGTACAGCGCTCCTTCGGCGAAATCGAAGTCACATATATCAGCGATATCCTGCGTGCCGGAAAGGATAACAGCGTTTAAGAGCATCCCTTCTAGTTGCTCATGTGCATATTCGACCTTCTCCGCTGTCATTGAACCCAGCGAGGGTAACTCAATGCAGTTTGCGGCGAAAGGGGTAAGGAAAGTGGGTAAGGGGCGGAGGGTGGGGGAACAACCATTGCACTTAATATTATTATGTACTCATTATGTGCTCATTATATGCACATAATGTATTTTCCCTACAAGTCCTCCGGCACCATAGCTCTTTAATGCCTCTTATAAATTTTATACACACACACACACACACACATGCACACACACACACACTGAGTCGCACACACCCTCACCCTGTAGACCGTACTGACCTATTCCTCTGGAAAATGTTGTATGGGTTGGCTGGCAAAACGGCAAAAAGTAAATAGCACAAAGCGATTCTTGAAACCAACTCATGTGTAAACATATTTAAAGTTTATGTTTATGCCCCCCTCAAGCCAACAGACTAACAATGGTACAGGAGGAAGAGTGGGGGGTAGTGGAGTAGGAGGCAGCTGCTTTGTAATTAAGTACTTTTAGTTTGTAGATTTAGAATTTGATACGCTTCTAGAGTTAAACTTCTTGGTATTAAGGGAGAACTTAACAGAGATTCTTATTATTGTGTTAACCTAAAGTTTGGTTCGTAAGCCAGATTTTCTAAAACCCATCGATGTTTTTTTAACATAGGATTAAGGTGTATAAAGTCACCTCAAATAGTTTATATTTAGATTTCATCTTACCGTTTTGCCAGTTGAAAGATTCATCTTTGCTTAAGGCAAACGTTTCCATTTACAGGTTCAGTTAACCAAACATACATTCTGGCGATGCATTGGTTAAGTGCAGTTCGTAATGAGACAAATATGATCCCTTGATTCGAGATTGGAGATTTGAGATTCGAGATTATTGGCAATTGACTGCACTTCACCACATTGTGCCCCCCCCCCCCCCTCCCTCCTCATTCCCCCGGAGTTGTGTCACCTTTACAAATCGTTTCAACACCTTGCTCTTGCAGTCAAAAATTGAAAATCGATATTCGCAGGGAAGGTTAAAGAGAGTTGGGAATCCAGGCAAGAGACAACACACCTTTGCCAGACAACGGTAGTGGGGGATGGAGGAGATTGAATGTAATTAAAAAGGAGTTAAATTACACATGTTTTTTTTTAACTGGCAACCAGGCAACCAACTAACTAACCAACCAGTCGGACTAAGGTAGGCAGGCAGGAGAGGATTGCGACACAAAGGAGTTTGCTTCAACAAAATAAAAACAAAACATCGACAAAAACAACAGCCAACACAATGAGCAGAAGGAGCTGGTGGCGGAGTAGTGGGTACATAGAGAGAAAAGTCGTCATCTTCATTAAATACAAGCAAATTATTTTTAAAAAATATCTTATATATAATTGATGAATGACTAAAAATACAACCTGAAAAAAAAGGAAATTTTAATATTTGAATGAAATCTCAAAAAGACTTGAAATCAAAACTTTAATGACTAAAATTTAAATATAATAAATATAAAAAGAAAAGAACACAAAAAAAAACAATAAATTAAATGAAAGTTCAGATCAAAAAAGCAAAACAAATATATTTAATATGCTAGTCAAAATCGAAATGTAAAAAGAAAATGAAGAAATCAAAGATGTTTTGTTGTAAATATATGGAACTGAAAGGGTGTCAACCCGGAAAACGCACTGGAACTTTATTCAAATTCAGAATATAAATCGAAATTCAACATTATTTTAAGAAACTGACGTTGATATTAAACAGAAGAACGTTCGCTTTGCTGGGTTAGTCAAATGTGGAACTGAGACAGGATTCGTTTCTCTCTGTGTGGCAATAGCTTTAGCTATAGCTTTAGCATACGCTGGCTTGGACAGAGTTCTCCTTTCTTTCACTTAGCACACAAGTGAAGTGAAGCAAAGCAGGAGTCGAGCAGCGAACACACCTCTCTCTCTCTCTCTCTCCCTCTCTCCCTCTCTCCCTTTCCCTCTCACTCTCTTTCTCTCTCTCTCTCTCTCGGCGTCGACGTCTCCGCAACGCATTCATCCTCTTAAAATGCACTTTAAATGGCAGTTTCCGGTCACACACACACATGCACTCACACTCACACACAAACACAAACACACACACACACACACACACACAGGCGCATGCACAACGCGAGGCACACTCGCATGCATAGAAATGTATAAGCATAATAAAAAAATACAATGCGAAAACGTTAAGTAAAAGCTAAAAGGAGTCGCGCTGTGCCAGGAGCAGCACTGCACCGCTTGGTACATACTGTACCCACACACACACACACATACACACACACACACACACATATACACACGCGCTGTCATGTTCGCCATTAACTTTGTCCTTCTTCGTGAGCAAAGTTGCAGCAAGCGCTTTTTTTCATAGGCCTACCCTTTTGTGTGCGTGTCTGTGTCTGTGAGTGTGTGCGTGTATGTGTACATATATAAGTGTGTTGCATAAATTCTTTGCCTGCAACCGCGTCTCCAGGCAGCTAGAGCTCGAAATGTAAAATGCAGATCAGATAGTAGAAGTGGTTAGAATTCGTTGAGCAGTATTTGCCTAATTTATTTATTTATTTAAAATCAGTCGACACAGAAAGATACAAAAAATTAATAAATACATTTAAGAACAGTAAAACAGGGTACTCAAATACAAAATGGTCCACCATTTTTTGCATGGATTTGGCGCCCCAGCAACCATCAGCAAACTTTACGATATCTTAAAATAAAATACTAATTAGTTCGCATAGAAACCTATATAGACTCGGCTAGTGATGCTGATCAAGAATATATTATAATATGGGTATAAAAATGTGAAAAATATAGATATAGAGCAAGCAATATAATAATAGATATTCCTCATGAACAACGATTTGATATTAATTGATTTATTGCTTCTAAATCCATCAGACCAGAGACATTGCCTTTAAACACGTAGACTCATCACAATCCGACAATCTAACAATATATTCTCATCTATATCATATCATATCATATCATATCTCATCATTATCATATTTAACTAAAAGGTTAATAATTGTATTTATTATATAATATTCCAAAAATCTTCTTCTTTGCAGTTGCTCACAACATATCACGGGAGCCGTATCGGGGCTACAATTCGGAGATGTATTCGACTAATCGGATCAACAACAACAGCAACAACACCTCGGGTCAACGTGGCGGTGAGTGAAACAAAAATTTAATTAAGCAAAGGGGGAGGGAGGAGGGGTGGAGATGGATGCTGAAGTTGTTGAATGTATCTTGTAAATTGCTGTTTTTCCGCACACTTAAAATGATACTGCTAAACTCCGGAAAGTCACTTGCGGAAATGTTTTTATTAGCCTAATATCCTGCCCCATTCAACCCCAACCCAACCCCCCCGCCACCTCCCCCAGTCCCAGACCCTCTGCTCCTTGCAACGTCGACACATACTTATTGGCCTGGAGCATTTGAGGTTAGTTTGTGTCTGGCGGCTGTTGAAGGACTTTACTTATGCTTATGCCACATCTGACGAGACGCCGCATCGTGACGCCTCTGCACCCCCTCTGTCACCCACCAAATTTGTGGCAACAGCATGTTTGCTGCTGCTTCGTCTTCATTGTGGCAGTTGTTCTTCATCATATGCCGCCTCGTCAGTTCTTTGTACGCCTTCTTCTTCTTCATCTGCTGCACATTAATACTGTTGCACACATGTTGATGTAGGTCCAGCCGGTTATATGATATATATATGTATATATATAAACATGTATATAATGCATATATAAATGTATAAGCCACATGCCTACTTTCTGCGTTTACATAATGCAAATACAATCACATGCATACCACCCTACATATGTGCATGCATACACTCAAAAAAATTAGTTGAGGGCATTGACTCATGCGCCAAAAAAAAAAAAATATATAAAAAAATATATTAACCAACGACAATTTTTCTCGTAAACTTAAAATGGAACTGTGAACTTCATGTAAAGTTTCAGCATTATTAAATAAATAAATTTCTCCATTGGTCTATTCTATTTTTACAAAAAGTTGAAATGCAAATGTTCTTAAATATCAAATCGAAAATATATTTAATCTGGCAAATGACCATTGAAATTACACCTTTCTTTCTGTATAGTAATTGTTTGATGTATTTCATTTTCGTAGAACGAAGTCCTGGTTTTCGTTCAGTATACACGGTTCTTCGCGCCTTTTGGCACATGCAACACGATTCTTTCGCCCCTATATATGTACATACAAACAACTCGGTTGCACTCACCTCCCCCCACTCTCCGCTCACCTACTGTTTGCTTGCAACCAAACTCGATGTCAGCACCTTTGGCTGCCTCCAGAATGTTAACCTCTCATTTTTTTCGGCTGCTGCTGCTGCTGGTGCCTGCTGCCACTGCAGAATTAATGGGTTAAGTAAATAGCTGTGTAATGTGCCTATCGTTAAGCGGAGAGGGAGGAACCACTAAGGTGTGTGGGGGGTAGTCTGAAGAAGCAGTAGAAGCAAAGAAGTGCCTCTCAATGCGGCGCTTCACTTGCAACGCTTGGCTGCCAATGCCGGTCTTGCCTCAAGGTAAGACGTACAAAGACGAGGGCTGAGAGACTCCCCTAAATGGTTTTGCCCGCAACGTGATAATGTCAATAGGTTCTTAAAATGATGTGTATATGTGAGAGTCTGTGTGTGCGTGCTAATTCATGCGAGATCTTTATTTTAATTAATATAGGCTTGCAAATTTTCCAGTATAAGGTGTGAAATTTATATGCAGTTTAATTCGCTTAGCAAAAAAAGAGGATATTTTACCAGTTACCTAGTTCATCCATGTAAGCTCTGCCATTTTGGAAGCTATATTTGTGAAACATGAAAGATAAGCGTGAAGGTGTCAGAATCGGATCGGAGCACTACATATATCATCTAGCCATAATCATCAGAGATATCGGTTAAAAGTGCCCTAGGAACTATGAATAAACTAGTAACCTGCAAAACAGGGGCAGTTATCGATAAAAATGCGTATAATATACAAGAACTTATCTTCCGAATTTAAAGTCTACAGCTCTGTTATTAATTTTTTTTTACTGTGATTTTTCCCTTTTTATTTAGGTTTAATAATACATTGTTTTGCAAGTAACAACCTTAAAAAGTCCAAAACAATTTTGAAATCACTTATATTACAATCTCAGAACACGGAATTTTAGAAAGTTGAATTGACCCGGCAGAGGGTCGCTTCTCCGGAACGCTATCTCAGTTTTTGCAATTTGCTCACATTCCGTAATAATTTTAACATTGAGTTCCGGTCGGCCCCCTTCTCCGATATAATCGGAAGAATTTATGCGCGGCATTACCACCCACAGAATAATGCCAAAGCTGTAAATGTCACATTTTTCCGTATATTTTCCATGTGAACTGAAAACCTGCGAATAAATGGAACAGCTAACTAATAAAATTTGCTAATAAACCCAAACCTCGGGTGCCACATAAGAAGCTGTGCCAACCTCTTCCGTATTTTGTGTCGCCAATTCTTTAACGGTGCAAAAATCTCCAATCTGCAACCTTTTGAAGTTTTTGATTAGTAGTAAATTTTGAGGTTGGAATATTCCATGACTAAATGTGCAATTTCCTCAATATAACCAACGCGTGTTACAATATTCTCATGGCCAAAGCTGTACACATTGTTCTTCTGATAATCCCAAGTTTTTCCAGTGTTATTTTGTATCGAATCAATATAACTTTCTTAATACATTGGTATACTTTCAGATCACACCACACAAGCATTACAATTAATGCTTGTTAAGAGAACTTATCATTCTAAGGTCAGACGAAAAGATGGAAATGACTAAATAATGTGGCTTAGTAATATAAAAGACACACGGACAGACGAGTATAGCTAGATAGACTGAGCCAGAATATATATATATATATATATATATACTCTTTCCCCATTTTAATAGATTCAGTGCATAGCCAAACATTTAGGCTAAAAAAAATGGGTCGACGTCTTTAAAAAAAACCAGTTCAAAAGTGTGTCATAAATTTGTAAGTGGAGCTTTTGAGATGTGGAGAGTCAGCAACTGCAACCTGCAATGTTGCAAGAAGTGTAGGTGATACCTTTTACGCATTAAAAGTGCACATTCAATTTTAACTATGCTCAAAAAATGGTAAAAAGAAAAAATACCACTTCTCCTGTGCGAAACGCCATGTGCTGCGCAGATTGCATCCCTGCCCCTTACAAAAACCCCGGCGCCCTGCACATATACTTCTTACGTGTGCCCGCTGTGCCAGTTGCAAGCTGCAGTCGTTGCAACTAGCATCAGCAACAACAACAACGAGTGTTGCATGAACTGCATTAAGGGTTCGCTTTTAGCTTTTGTTGCTTGTACGGAAGATGAAGAGGAAGAGTATTGAAAAGTAGGCCAAGTTAAAATTGATTTAATGCGTTGATTGCGCCTGCTGCTGCCGCTGTTGTTGCAGCTGCAACAACTCAGATTTATATGTGTGTCGAACGCAGATGTTTTATTATTTTGTATTTTTTCTTTTTTGTTTTGTATTTTTTGCTTGGGATCTTTAAAAATATTGCGTGAGAGATTTCTGTGTGATGAGACACACTAGGGTCGTCTCTGCATCGGTGGCGTATGCGCAATATTCTTTGCAACAGCAGCACATTGACCCAGGACACACACAAACAGATAGCAATACCAACACACACTAGATGCACACACTTATGCCTAGGAAAAGTTCGTTAAAAATAATTGCCAACCCTTGAGCGTCAGTTAGTAGTTTGTGGCGTGTGAAAAGCGACTGGCAATTTTACAGCTGCTGCTGACGTCGCAGTTTTTCCGCGCTTTCGTTTTTATTTTTGATATACCCTGCACCCAATTAATGTGGCCAAAAAAGGTGTATTCTGAAAGTATCTCTTAATTCATACAGCATCAAAATGCGAACCTGATCAAGCTTTATCTCAACTATAGATTTGCCAGGGTGTCAATTATAAGTTCGGAGCCAAACCCGAAATCCAAAACTAAATTCATGGCAGTTCGATAATTTTAGATTATTTTTTTTTCAAACTGTCTTTTTGTACCGATACATAGTGTCCTATTGTAACGACGAATACCGTGATCGAAATTTGGAAAAAAAGGAATACATTTGCGCTTTTCATAGCAGAACCGGAATCCAAATTCGTTTGAGTTTGACATTCTGAAATTTATGTTATCCAAACGCAAAACGAGTTTAGTTTTTTACTGAAAGCTCCCCAATTGTGAAGTTCCTTTTTCCTCTCTCTATTCTCTTTGTATCTATTTTCTCCTCTTTCTGATTAAAATAATTTACACATTTATATCTAGTTGTTATAGTTGGTAACAAATATTGTTAATATTTAGTGAAATTAAATTGTTCACAAATTTAAAAACAAAATCCAAATGAAATTAAAATCGCCTTAAAATTGTTAATTATCTAGATAATATAGGAGTATTATAAGCCCACAATTCAATATAATTTATTATCATTTATTATTTTTCTCTAGTTAATATTTTTCACTCATCGCTAAAGGCTAATAAGCCCAAAGTTCAAATACCGCCTTCACTTATACAATTTGTATAGAACCAGGGCTGTCTAAACGATTCTTCTTGCCTGGTATACTTGACTATTTTTGGTTTTCTGTTTTTTGTTTGTTAGATTTTGGTGCTTGGCACTAGCGTCTCGACGTCTCCGGCTGGCTGTCAAGTGGGTGGAGGGGGAATGCATTTGACAGCTAATTGGCTAAAAATGTTTACTTTCTCGCTGAGGGAGAAAAGAGTTTCTACATGCCACAGCGTCGTCCTGCGGCAGTGGCAGTCAAACAATACCATCAGCTGGCAACACACACAACAACAAACGGCTTCTATTGTATTTTAACACCTTCATCCAATTTCAGTTATTGTTGTTGTTGTGTTTGTTGTTGTTCCACATATTCGACGCTGATCCTTTGGCTAGGTTTGCTGTCAGTTTTGCCCTGGCTTAATTTATGGACTCTTTGGGCCACATTTACTTGCGCATCATTTTTTTTGGTATTTTTTTATACTTTTTTGCGCAAAAAAGTGACGACAAAACATTCCACAATATGACAAAAACAACACAAAAACCCAAAAAAAAAAAGTAGAATACGAAATCCTTTAAGAAAAAAAAACGCCATCAACAATTTAGATAAATTTTCCCACCAGC